ATTTATGAGATGTGCTTGCTGTAACTCACAAGAATGCACATAACCTATTTGAAGATATATTGGCCGATTTCAGACTGGCAGTTTGGCCCGGCAGCCGAACGTTTCAGGAGCGTTTCAAGAGTGGATGAAAGAGGCGGGTTCACACAGGCACATCTTTCAGCATCCCCCAACCGTACTCAAGCCGTCTTGTGCCGCTTCTCTCCTGAGTTTAAAAAGTACCAAGTGAAAGTGCTAGCAAACTGTGTGTAGAGCGGGTTGATTTCAGTTCCCTGAGTATGAACGCAAGCTCTGCTAAGGCGGGAACAACCCGTAGTCATTGATAAGAGGCGCTGGCTGTTTCTGCGGCAGGCACCCATGTGCCCATGCGCATAGGCGCATGCAGCAGAGCGCAGAAACAGCCGCTAACAGCCCGCCAACAGTGCGATCGCTCCCTTGCACGTCCTCCATGGTATCCTCCCGCTTCATTCGCTGCAGTGTGAACGGGAATACCATGACCAAGCTGTTTTGGGTCTGTTCTGAGTCTTCTTTGCCACGACTCCCTAGCACTTCAAATTGCCAGTTTGAACTTGCCCATTGTTTCAGTTACTGAGGAAGTTCTTTGAAACGGAGTTCTTAATATCCGGATTCTTCGTATATTATTCTTCATACATCTTCACCTCAAGAGGAAACTTTTCTACTTTAAGATTGGACTTGATTGTGCTTATGTGGTTGTATAATAACCAAATAACTTTGGTTATTATTGAACTATTGTTAGTGTCTTTTTCACACAGATTACTATCCCCTTGTATACTTACACTGTGTGTTCTTCTTTAGTCACTGTTAGGGAGAACCATTCAATAACTGTGGGATCACTTTAGCCTTAAAAACTTTTAAAGCAGCTGGAACAAATTGGTTACCTTTATTAAAGAAGAAATGTGACATGGTTGATGCATTGATGGTAACTAAGTTAAACATAGATTTGCGATGGCAAGACCTGGGCATGTTATAACTGAAATGGAGACCTAGATATTTAAAATGCTTTACCTGCTCTATTTCTTTTCTGTCAAATGTCCATTTTTGGATTTTACAGGACTTAGAAAATACTAATATCTTGGATTTCTCATAATTCAGGGGTAGTTTATGCTCAAGAAAATAAGACATCTAAAAAAATGATATCAAAAATTTATAAAGTTTTGTTAAAATGGTATACAGAAGATGAAACAGTAAAAGAGCAAATGATAAAATGGGCTGTAAACATGAATAAAGAAATAACTATGTCATCTTGGGAATGTTTGTGGAAAAAATCAATGAAAATTTCAACTTGTAATAATTTGAAGGAAAATTGTTATAAAATGGTATATGACGCCAAAAAAAAAGCAAATATGAATGAAAATATGTCTAACAAGTGTTGGAAATGTAAGAAGCATGAGGGCTCTTTTTACCACATGTGATGGACTTGTGAGAAAGCTGTGGCATTTTGGACGGAGGTCCATAATGAAATGCAGAAAATCCTGAAATGTACTTTTAAAAAGGAACCAGAAATACTACTTTTAGGGCTTAAGGTGGAGGAAATAAATGTAACAAAAAGAACATTGTTATGGTATTTGATTACAACAGCAAGAATGACTTATGCACAATTTTGGAAACAAGATAAAGTGCCAGAGAAATGGGAATGGATAAAGAAAATGCTTTTTATGGCAGAAATTGATAAAATGACAAGAAAACTTAACAACAAGGAAGATGAAGAACTTATTGAAGAATGGGTTGATTTCAAAGAATATATAGAGACTAACTGGGATGTAAAAAATAACTTACTTTGCTTTGACAGTTATTAAGAACAGAATAAAAATGATTGGGACGATGGGTGTAAAAATAAAATGTTACCTGGAATATAGATAATGAAGAGGTTACAAATGATGAATGGAAAGAAATGAGAATGAGAAAAGGGTATATGTTGAAAGAAATGTTTTAATGTTGGAAATGTTGATATACCCAAATAATAAAATTTGTTTGAAAAAGAAAAAGAAAATAAGACATCTGTTCAACAGACATCTGAGCCCTACCCTTGTGCAAGAGAGTAGTACTGTATCATCTGCATATAACAGGATAGGTACATGAAGGGTGCCCAGTTTAGGAGAATGATAATCTTCTTCCGCTAAAACAGGGGCCAAATCATTGAGAAATAAATTAAATAGGAAAGGAGCAACTATGCATCCCTGTTTAACTCCTTTAATAAAGGGAATTTTTGGTGTTAATTCCCCTACGGTTGAACATTTGATTTGACAAGTGGTGGAAGTGTGTAACATTATGATTAATTTGAGCTCCAGTCAATATCTAGTTGGTTCAATTTAATCCATAGTAACTCTCTATCAGATGAGTCGAATGCTCCTTTAAGATCCAAAAAAAGCTGCATAAAGTTTAGAGTTTCTAGATCTAATGTACTTATCAGCTATATGTGCTAAGGTAATACAATGATCTATTGTAGATTTGCCCTTGCAGAACCCAAGTTATTCAGGGCCTAAAACAATTTGCTGAGACATCCAGGATGTTAGTTTGGTTAATTGATGCTTGGCGTACTATTTTCCTATGATGGAAAGAAGGCTAATTGGCCTATAGTTAGAGGTGATTGTGTAGTCACCTTTCTTATAGATCGGGACTATGCTTGCATTCCGCCAGGCATCAGGAATAAGTCCTGTTTGATTAATCATAGAAAAAAGGGAAGCAAGAGGGACAGCCCACCATTCTGGGTCCATCTTTAAAAGCTCTGGGGGAATCAAATCAGGGCTGGGGACTTTTCCAGTCTTCAGTTGATTAATTAATTGTATTATTTAATCAGAGGTCACAGGTGGCCAATCTGATAAGTTCTCATCACAAAAATCATATGAATTACCAGTATAGTCTTGGAGAAAATGACACTCATTCCATCACGGTTACCGCGAGGCTGGACTACTGTAAAGCTCTCTACTTAGGGCTGCCTCTGTCGCAAATCTGGAAGCTGTAGCTAGTGCAGAATGCTGCGGCCAGGCTGCTGATGGGCCTCTCTAGACGAGACCACATCTGGCCTGTGCTGCAAGCGCTGCACTGGCTGCCGATAGCATACCGGATTTGCTTCAAAGTGCTGGTTCTCACCTTTAAAGCACTGAATGGCCACAGTCCAGCATACCTGAAGGACCACTTCTCCCCGTATGTTCCCCCAAGAGCACTAAGATCAGGGAGTCTCCACCTCTTGGAAGTTCCAGGCCCCTGAGATGTGAAGTTTGCCCCTACTAGGGCCAGAGCATTTTCGGTGGCGGCTCCTACCTGGTGGAACGAGCTCCCAGAGGAGATCCGGGCCCTGCGGGACCTTGTGCAGTTCTGCAGGGCCTGTAAGATGGAGCTCTTCCACCAGGCTTTTGAGTAGGAGCCGCCGCCACTACTCCACCATTATGGCATTGTCCTATTGCTGCTTCCATCATATAGGGCAATTATCGCCTGGCAGAATGCGCATAGAACAGTGCTGCTGGAGACTGTGCTAGAGACAGCTGGCCGCTCACTGGGTTCACTGACCCCGTCTTGGGTGATTTATATGTAGGAAGACTAGAGCACGTTAAATATTATATGGTTTTATTGTGTGTTTTAATGTGGCTTTGTTTTATTGTATTTTATCTATTTAATGCGGTTTTTGCTGTATGTTAGCTGCCCTGAGCCATTGGGAGGGTGGGATATAAATCTAAAAATAAATTTAATTTTTTTTAAAAAAAAATGATGGTTTTTGATAGGATGGGACTATCTAACTTCATCCAATTCTGACTATTTCATTGTTTTGATACTCTGATAATACTTCATAGTGTCCTCCTTTGTCTTAGTGCACAAACTTTGCCCAAATTCACCGTATAATACCCAGTCAAGCTATCTGTCCAGCAGACACACAGAAACGTCTGTTTTTCCTTCTTCACGTAAGGTGGGTTCTTCAGGACAGAATGCTTGGTATCAGCAGGGGTCATTTCGTAGAAAAAGAGGTTAGGGTTAGGTGCAGGAGCTCATTAGCACAACTCATTAGCATAACTTATTTGCATATGCCACACCCCCTGACATCACCAAAAGTGTGTCAGAAGGCAACACCCACCGCTCAGGCTCCACTGGACTGTTTTGGATTGCTAGCTATTGGGGGGGGGGAAGGAACGTGCAAATCCGTCCTTGCAGAGGAGGGAGAGCTTGTACCTGAATAAAACTTGGTCTTAAAGGCGCCACTGGACTGTTTTCAACTGGGGGGGGGGGGGGCTTTGCAGCTTACCTGGCTGCTTCTTGCTCTGACTGAGGGCTGCTGAGAGCAGGGAGTGGGGCTTATTGCATGTGCCCACCCCCTGGGCTCTTTACTGCTGGAGCTCCGCTCCTGTGTGCTCCTGTAGGAAATGACCCTGGGTATCAGCCACAGTATGTCTGCCTGGGAATCGACCCTATACTCCAGTCCTTTCCCATCTTCTGTCCTCCCAAAGATGGTATTCCTCTCGATAAAGTGGCCTCCACTGTCTTCCTCAAAAAAGACATCCAGAGAATAGCATCAAAGAAAGACAGTGGGAAACATCTGGCTACAGGAAGTAATGAAGTAGTCTGAACTGAAATTTTCCATGATTAAGAATAATTACCAGGAAATGTGACAATGTGAACAATAAGAATACTCACTGGAAGTCTTCTAAGAAATTTTGCTCATCATAGATTGAGTAAAGAATATTGTGTCCTCAAATGTGTTGTCTACATGATGGGATAAAATAACACCAGAAACTGAACAGCTCTTAGAAGAACATCCTGACAAGGGTTATAATCTTCTAAAATGAAAGAGGACAGGAGGAGAAAAGTACATGTTCTGTTACATGGGGAGGGAAATGGGTATTATTACATCTATGCTGTCAAGGAAGAAAAGGCAATCTGCCTTCCAGCACTTGAAGGAAATGTGTTGTTGTGGATATGAACCCTATGTCTCCCCGCCTCTCCAAAGTCTGTATAAAAGCCACCCTCTGTAGGAGACTTTGCATTAATTTCCATTCATTGTCTCCTGATTGAGGACTTCAGAAAGTTTGGTGAGTACTGAGGATAAATCTTGTAAAGACAGATGGGAGGAACTGGCAATATTTAGGTTGGAGAAGAGAAGGAGATAGGAGGGCACTCTTCACCTGTGGCCTGCAAAGCTTCTCC